TAGTATCTATCTATCTATCTATCTATCTATCTATCTATCTATCTATCTATCTATCTAATGTCTCTGACGTAGTATCTATCTATCTATCTATCTATCTATCTATCTATCGTAGAAGTGAGTTGGTAAGGATCAGTGTATGCATTGAGTTTCAGAGGTGAATGGGAGGATCGCACTGGTGGGTTGGTGGAGGGGGGCAGTGGAATTCTTGAATCCTCAAATCCTGGAAGTGGGAGGTACGAAGAAAAAAAAAACCTCCTTCATATGCCTTTCCAGAGGAAGAATCGCTGCTGTAAGCGACAGAGAAAGCGCAAGACAAACACGCTAATTCGCAGTTTACCTCGGTGTGACTCGTAAATCTCCGTACGTCGCGAAACACCCGCGCGAGTTTATGAATGAAAAACTTCCCAAACAGCAAAGACGCGGACGTTTTCTCACTGTTTATCGACGCACCTGGACCAGAACCTATTGTTTGGTTCAACTGGGTTAAACGCGACTCGCTACTTTTTGTAAAAAAAAAAAAAAACAGGCGCGCTACACGAGAGAAATCTGGCTGAGTAGCTTGTTTTGATTCAATTCAGCGTGGGGTATTTTCTACGGAGATCGCTTGTTTTGGAGTAATGATTTACAAACCTAAATAACTCCCACAAGAAGTGCCACTTCAACACAACCCAGTGCTCACAATAACATTCAGAGGTGAGTGCTTTTTAACTTTGTGAAGAACCTCAACATTTTTAGAGTTATGATGCCTTTGTTGTTCATTTTTTAAATGAAGTAGGCTACAAGAAAGATTAAATACGCACGCCATCGTCGTAAGAAAAAAGACGTTATCTTCAGACACATATTTCAATTTAAAGAAACGTTTTTGCAAGTTTTATGTAGAGAGGTCAATACAGAAAGAAGTATTGATATAGCCTATATGATTGCAATATAAATATAAATAGAGGCTCATATAGCCTAGTTGTGATTTTTAAAGTAAATCATTCTCATTTCCATTGTGTTTGCACATTCATGAAGAAACAAACATTGAATAGGTGCTCACAGCAGGAGTAGAATAAGAATACTACATTGTGTTCCCTCAATTTCCATATCAATGAATATGAAAAGTGACCTATTTTGAGCTGTAAAACCCTGGGTGGCATTGTCTGTCTAGTGTTTGTTATGGATGCATTGTGTTCCTTGAGGAAACAAACCTTTCCAGGGTGATCTGCTTCTGTGTTAATGATAAATCAGGATTTTTTTTTTGTGATTTAACTGAACTGATGTTCCCTGGCCGACCTCTGTTGTAGAGTTTAGGTGGAAAGATGCACTAGTAGAGTCATTCTAAACATCTTAGTCAGGAACCATTGAAACTGAGTCAGTCACATGCTCAACATGTTACGCCAATTTACCTTTAGAGCCACTTTCTGATCACAAGTCAATGTCAGAATCTCTGAGGATGACTACCTCATTCCACAAGCATTAATTTCAGAGATGAATCATAAATTAAACTGATATTTTTCAAAACCACAACCTCCCTCCCCGAGGAGCCCATCTTGACTTATTGTGGCACTTGTGCTGAGTTACGGCCGAATCTCATAGTCGACTGTGTCAGCTGGAGCCCCATCCAAACTGAATGTGTAATATTGGATGCGCTGAAAGACGAGCTGCGTCCATGCACCTGGTCGGAGCGCTGCTCAGTCACCAGCTGTGACTTATCCCTGCTGCTGGTTTCTTCCTGGTAATCTTCTCAATATCACTTTCAGCAAAACTGGATAGTAAACTGCAGCTGAAGCTTTATATTCACAGTTTTAAAAATTTGCTGCAAAAATAAAGATTCCAGAAGGAGGTTTTCTTAGCAATGCCACAAAACGAACATATTGGGTTCCCCAAAGAAACCTTTTAGTGAACAGTGAAGTTCTTAAAATAACCATTTTTTTCTTTGTGTGAAGAATATTTTAATAACATTCTTCCACTATAGAACTTTTTGTGCAATGGAAAGTTTCTGTGGATGTTAAAGTTTCTTCTGATGCCAATAAAGAACCTCTAGTTTTAAGAGTTTACATAACCACTAATGTCGTTCCCATTTTTTGGAGTTTTTAGTGTGCATCAGTGATTATGCAAAATGAAGCCAGCGGAGGTGTGGATAGGAAGGCAAATGGTGAAATAATTCACTTGGATTTCCTTTCCTAATCTATACAATTACTGGTGTTAAGGGGGCTTGCAGGTTGGAGGGGTCCTGGGATGGATTGCATGACTATCTCTCAAAACAAACACAGAGTCGAGGAATGTCATGCATGGATGCAGCAGCATAATTAAGGGTCCGGGCTGGAATCTCAGGGGGGTAGGGAACACAGCAAACCCCAACCTTTAATTATCACAATGGGCTTTTCAAATGCTCCTCTTGCATTACTGTGGAGAACTCTGAAAGGACTGCTGGTTTCAATGCTGTTTTCCACTTTTGGTGGAGATAGTTGAGTAGATGTTTCTTCATTTGCATTTATCCATTTAGAAGATGTTTTGTCCAAAGCAGCTTTCAAAAGAGAATAGCACAAGTGTAAGCAACTACTTAAAGGTTATTTAGGGCCAAAAATGAAAAGAAATAAAACAATTTATTTATTATTATTATTATTATTTTTAATTTAACTTTTTTGCTGAATATACATACATTTATTGATTTATTTATTTAGTTAGTTATGCATTTTCATATTTGCTAATCTGTAATATGCACAAATAATTTTTTATATAATATTTTATCAGGCATACCCTAATAGACATGATTTTGTTATTTGAAAAAATGTGGTCCCCTTTTATTTCCTTTCTACAAACTTGTGATTAATATGTTTATTATGCCTTCAGTACTTACTTTTACCACTGGATAGCACTTATGGGTCAAGTTTTTGGGTGGGGGGAAATGTATTTAATTTTTTTGTTCAATTATTATTTTCATGACTATAGTTAGTTTTTTCATTTTAATTTTCTTTTTTTTTTATGTTTATTTGTTAAAATGTAAGTTTTATATGTTTGTATTTAAAAAAAAGTGTAATTACAAGTGATTGTCTGCTAAAATTTCTAATAATAAAAATATATAAACCATAATATTTTATATTTTTTGTTTAGTTTCATTAGAGATAAAGAGTACACTGTAAAAAGTACACTGTTTTTTTTTTGTGACTGTTGTTGAAAAACGCTTTTATAGCTCATCCAATAACATTTATTTGAATCTCGTCGGCGTGCCGCAGTTTCATGTGTGAAAAAGTTCCACGAATAACTCCACATTCTCATCAGTTTAAGAGATTCTTACATTTTACTGCTTTGACACGGTTATGGACAGCTCCTGTGAGGTAAATGAACTGCGTTTATGGCCTTATCATAATCCCGCTGCACACCAGCATTTAGGATTTTTCATTCAGGGTCGCCACCCACCGCAGAACTACCATCTCTTCATGTACTTGCCTTCAGCTGAATTACTTTGGCATAAAACCATACGACAGCTCTCAGTAATGGACGGACATCCTTCGTTTATCATTCTAATGAGGTGATCATAATTAACTGAATTAGATGTTTCTGTACGTCAGCTCTTCTAGATGAAAACTCATCATGGTTGAGTATTTTAAACACACTTGTGCGAAACTGAGACTTGCAACAAAGGTGCTAATCAGTTGACAACTTTGTTTGCATTCACTAATACTCTAATTCCCTTCATTCTCAGTAATGAGAGCAAAACATATGACACCAAGTTGTGTTGTTTCAGATTGGAAATTGTGAGTAAAGTTGAAGGTGTGCGAGCAAATGGTCTGCAGCGTGATTATTGGAGGAGGGGGTACAAAAACAACCACCAGATTACGGGGCTTTTGTTGGGTAACGTTTGACAGGGATGGAGGCGTGACTGGGGTCCAGAGGAAAGCCAAGTGTCAAGTGGCGATTCTTAGGGGGGCATAGCATTAACAGATGTGTTTCACACCACCGGGATGGCCTCTCCACACCTACTCAGAGGGGCAGCTGCTGTCGGGTGAGGGGTCGAGAGGTTTGGGGCCTCTGTTTTCTTCATACTTGTGGGAAAACCATGTTTGAACTAGTTTTTGATTTTCCAGGTCTCTAGTCCCAAAGTTACAGCTTTTTCTAAGTTAAGTTAAAATTTTATGTCATAGGACGCTTGTTGCTTTGAAATTAAGAGATTTTTATTCCATTATTTATTAGTGGTTGATTTAGTGGGTGATGGGTTGATGCATAAACAGTTGTCAATGCTAATCAAACTTAATTAATATTTAAGTGCAATGAAGGAGCCTTAGAAGTCGAATTAGTGAGTACCAGATGGGCTTTATAGCCAGGTGACATTATTATTTCAGAAAATGAGAGGGGTCTGGTCTTTGTAAGCAGAGCGTGAGTGTAGTTGGGCTTATTTTGTGGCCTTTTGATATAGTTATAAGTGGAAACTTATACTGCTGTTTAAAAGTGTGGGCCTGGTAAGATTTTTTTTTAATGACTAATAAGTCTTTTATGCTCATCAAGGTTGCATTTCTTTGATCAAAAATACAGTAATATTGTGAAATATTATTACAGTTTAAAATAACTGTTTTCTATTTGAATATATTTTAAAATGTAATTTATTCCTGTGATGCAAAGCTGAATTTTCAGCATCATTACTCCAGTCTTCAGTGTCACATGATGCTTTAGAAATCATTCTAATATGCTGATTTGATCAAGAAACATTTATTATTATTATGCTTACTGGCCTCAAACTTTTGAATGGTTTATGTTGCTTGAAGTTGTTCCTGCTTCCTACTGTGATGTGATGTGTGTTGAAGTGATTTTGATCAGAATCAAGAAACATTTATTATTATTAGGCTTACTGGCCTCAAACTTTTGAATGGTTTATGTTGCTTGAAGTTGTTCCTGCTTCCTACTGTGATGTGATGTGTGTTGAAGTGATTTTGATCAGAATAAAATGGACTCATTCACAAAATAAAAAGTAAAGATTGCATATTAGATGTTTATTTGATGCTTTATGTATGTAGTTTATCATTCTTGTGTTGCCACAGAGAATTATGGGACATAGTTGTATCGCTCAATCCTGTCGCCACATAGTCATCTAGATAAGTAGTATTTTCTAGCAAGTTTCATTTTCATTAATTGTGTACAAAATGTGCAGCATTTACATTTAAAACTTAATTGAGACCAAACTAATTTTGTCCTGGTTTTTAATTGGCACATCACCAAAATTAAAATTTCTCGGTGGTATTTACATTGTAGTGGTGTTTATATGCGCTCAACTCATAAATATCATTACAACTTGACTTTTTTGGATATCTAAACATATCAGGGGATGAAAATAAAGGTCCCAAAAGGGTGTTTTCAGAGCTGAAAGAACCATTTTGGGTGAACACTTCTTAAAAGAACCATTGCTTGAACATTTTAAGTATCTAAAAAAACTTTTTCCACAATAAAGAAACTTTTGTGGAATGGAAGGATTCTATGGATGTTGAAGGTTCTTCATGGAACCATTGATGCAATAAAGAACCTTTATTTTAAAGAGGGTAAGCAACCATTCTAGCCAACCAGAACCCTCTAGAACACACAAATAAAAGTTTCAGAAGGGGTTTTTCACATTGATGCCATAGAAGAACCCTTTTTGGTTCCCCAAAGAACCTTTCAGTGATCATTTCTCAAAAGAACCATTGTTTCTTAGTGTAAAGAATATTTAATAATCTGAAGAAAGCTTTTTTCCACTATAAAGCCCCTTTTGTGCAATGAAAAGTGTCCATGTTGTGAAAGGTTCTTCATGAAACCAATAATGCCAATAAAGAATAATGGGAAAAAGCCAGATCATTCCAATTAAAAGTTCATTTTTCCTCCTTTGTATCTTTTCATGGCGTGTAAGACTAATTCCTGTACACATTCTCTTTCACTTTTTGGCAGGTAGCTCTATGCTGCCGGTGTTGATGGGCCAGTGCTGCCCACAGCTGTGCGAATGAGCTGTCTCGGCCCACCCTCCTCGCCCAGCTGCCCTGGCATGGCTTCTCTAAGGAAGATGAAGTCATGGCATTTGCTTCTCCTGTGGGTTATTCTAGCTCAGCTCCCCTTGGCCCACTCACGTCCCGCAGTAACCGAACAAGGTAAGTTTTTCCTGTTCCAATGTCCACTTCCAGGCTGTTTCTAATCTGAACAAATGGACGAAAGCAGCACATCGTTTACTTGCATGATTTAGGCTCGAATACATTCATTTGATGTTCAGTTTACACTTGGCTCTACCTCATGCAGCAGCAGAGTTCTGGTCATGGCTCCATTTTTGATGTGGAGTTAACAAGTGGAGCTGGAACTCATTAGGGTCCGATGTGCTGTAGGACTCCAGATGCTTTTCCTTTATGCATCCAAGTAGCTTCGGGGTCTTTCGCTCTTTCTTGAAACCTTAGAGGTTCAGATGGATCACGGTGGAATGCACAGCATTGCAAAGACTCCTTAATGTGCTAAAAGATCTCCAAACACAATACAGAGCTCTATAGCAATGGGAGAATGGCTTTGAATCATTTATATATTTAATCCGAAATGCTCATTAGCTGCTTCTCTCTTGCCCATTGGTTTTGATATATTGGCACCATATGGTTATCAGCTAAAATGTTATTTTACATTTTTTTCCCAATATTAAATATCAGTATCTATATTATTTTAGTATAATTGGGATAATATTATAGTTTTTATTAATATTTTTATTCATTTTTATTTTATTTTAAACTTTGTGTAGTTTGTGTTTTTGTACTTTTTATTAATTTAAAAATGTCTAATATAGTTTTAATTAATTCTAATTTCAGTTTTAGTTATTGTAGAACATCAATTTGAATAAAAAATGGCAACAAGCTGAAATAAAATGAGTACATTTTTTACATTTTATTTCAGTTAACGTTTATTTTATTTCAAGTAATGAAATTTGTTTTATGATTTTAGTTAAAGGGTTAGTTCACCCAAAAATGAAAATTAGGCTGTGTTTTACTCACCCCAGAGCCATCAAAATGACTTTCTTCTTTCAGACGAATTCAGTCGGAGTTATATTAAAAATTGTCCTGGCTATTCCAGGCTCTATCATTGCAGTCAGCGGGTGTTGCAGTGCTTCAGTCCAAAAGAAGTTAAATAAAAAGAGCCGATCCATAAAAAAAAAAGTGTCTCACACGGCTCTTATATATATATTTAAATAATGTATTGTTTGTTGTTTTTATTTTTACATTTAAATCTATTATTTGTTTAAGTTTAAATCCTTTCTCTTTTTAAATCCCTCTGTTTTTTTATTTAGACAAAATTGTAGTAAATTTTAATATCAATCATTACTGGCCATATTATGAAAATTATTATCATTTTCTGCTCTGAATTTTTGTGTTGATGCATCCTTATAGTTCACTGTTTTGAGTGGAATCAAGAAGTTTGATCATTTGCTTTTAACTTTACTGTGAAGGCAGGAATCAGAATTGTTGTGACAGCCTGACACCAACACAGTTACACTACAGCCTCGATTGTCTACAGCTTTATTGATGATGCATGTTTGCATACACGTGGACATAGTGTCCATTCACAGCCGCTTAAGACGCTGATATGTTGTACACTGAGGGCCACAGAGCTCATCTGCATGTGAAAACAGTCATCATCCGTATCCTGTTGCTGCACAAACTCTTGCTCCATTGTTTGATAGCCTTGATCGAACTGTCTGTTTGCCTTCTCGCCTGAATTGACTTGTTGTAGTTAGTGTTGCTTTCGTCAACGAAAATTATGACTAAATATCGTCGTCAACAAACCTTTATCACGTAACGAATACGAGACGAGACGCAACGTAAATGCTGGTCATGTGACGATGACTATAATTAAATGTATAATGCAATATTGTTGACGAATAAAAACGAGACTAAATGTGGTTGCTTGAAAGATGAAAGACAATTTTTAATATAACTGCGACCTAGGATGCCTCAGGGGTGAGTAAAACGCAGCCTAATTTTCCTTTTTGGTTGAACTAACCCTTTAAGTTAAACTGCTTCAAGAACGTCGCAACTGAGAAATGTCATGTAGCTTTTCAGCTGCGAAACTATTTTATTGATAAATTCGCGGGGCAGCACTGACAAGAAGTTTCTGTTCGCGTCTCCGCATGTGTGCGCGAGTGCGTTTCTGTACCGTGTGCATCTGTGAGAGAAACTGGGAGAAAGAAAGCGTGATTTCCGTAGCCTACATAAAAAAAGGTGGAAGACATGGAAATAGTTTGTAATTTTTTACCCTATTGTTTGTTATATTTATTTGCTCAATGTCTTGAGCAATGCGTAAATCCGGCCCTGTTAGACGGCAATCGGAAGTTATTACAAACACTCGATGGTGGTTTAAAGTGAGTTTTGAGTAAAAG